ACGGATCGGGCTGAAATTTGGCATGCAGGTAGATGTTATGACGTAGACATCCGCTAAGAAAGGATTTTGATCAATTCTACCCCGAAGCGAAGCGAGGGCGGGCCACTATTGATGATACAAATTAAAATTATAAAGAAAACTTAAATCGTTTTCTCATAAAATAAAGGTAAGTAGGTATTTAATTAATCAAGTATTTGTTACAGTGCGTAGCTATTGCTAGATACAATGAACAGCCTTGCTCTGTTTGTGACAGATAAAGTTCTTTGAGTATTCGTGCTAAAAAGGCGATCAAAGCAGTGGAGGTAAATCTTTGAAGAAATTCGAAAGATTTTATCGCGAGAAATGAATAAAGCACTCAGAATCATATTGCGTTTGTATTCTAAAATATGATTTAGTAGGAACTTCCTAAAAAGATGAGATCAAAACATTGTTCTTAACCTACTCAAAGGTTACTAAAGTATACAGACTAGCATCGTTTTACAAACGGACGATTAAATACGTTTTTTAGGGTTTTGTACCATATTATCATATTTAACCTCTGCTGTCCATCCGTCTGTGTATCTTATGAACGATAATTATATTAAAAAAATATTATATTTCTGCACACCGTCTCCATCTAACTTTTAATTGATGACCTCCGTGGTCGAGTGGTTTGTACGCCGGGTTTCATGGTGTCGCCGACTCGAGAGGTCCCGGGTTCGAATCCCGGTGGGGGCAGATGTTTGTGTGATGAATACGAGCATTTGTACTTCAGTCATGGATGTTTCATATGTATTTCTAAATAAAAATATACTGATATATGTACAGTATATGTATTGTATCCGTTACCCTGGTATCCCATAACACAAGCCTTAAAGTGCTTACTTTGGGGCTAGGCTAATTGGTGTGTGTTGGAAATATTTATTTATTTATTAATTAAGCACAATTTCACACTCTTCCTAGTGAAAAACGTGCTTTAAACGTGGGACCCACAGATTACAATACAATTAGCACGAACTAATATTGAATTCAAATAGTTTGCGAGTCCGAAATGTTATTATCGAATGTGTAGTGATTTTTTGTTCTCGTTACCTACTTTGTGGCGCTCCTGTTCAAGTTTCCATACAAAAATTGACAATGACATTTCGGACTCGCATACTATAGGGTATTTGACAGTATTAAAAATAAAGTGCCAATTGTTAGCATCTGTGTTTAGAATGAATATTGGCAGGGGTTTTTACTATTTTTACAAAAAAAATATTCATAATTTTACTAAAAATCCACGAAAAAGATAATAGTTTTCTTATCTATTGTCACGTGACCCAAAACGCTTGGGATTGGCGGAGCCTAAAATGACGTCACACGCAAGTAAACTTCCGGTTAAAGTGACATTACATTGTATCGTTTGACGTTTTAATAACAGTCGTGTGACGCCACACACTAGTAAGACGCCATATTGTCCAGAGAAACGTTTTCGCGGCAATTTGAAAATGGAGTTTTTGATTTGGTTATTTTTACTGAAATACACAACAGAATGATGAATATCCACTTTTTACGGACTCCATAAACATTAGTCAATAACGTGAGATCGTTTTCTAAAACTTGTCAATGATGGCTACCGTTTTCTGCCTCACCAGATGGCGCCACTGTTGACTGAGGTCCTAAATTGTTACATTTAAATCGTATTTTAACACAAAAGAACCATATCCTAAACATAATAGGCCATTCCACAGTGACGCGCAGTTCCGTTTTATTCGGAAAAAATGGGAACATAATCATTTTTCTAAGCTCAAATTTTTAATAACTGACATTCATTGCCACATAACTCATATTTGCCATAATTAAGCCGAATTGTTACCAATTATTCACAACATTATTTTAATTAGAAATAAACCCGCGTAGTCAACCAACAAGCAATAACATTTGACATTTCGGAGACCTCACGCTACACTAGCGCCTCTAGCGGCGGATTCATACGATATAGCCCTCATTACCCTATTCTAATTCGATAGTGGTTCGTGCTAGATAAAACAGAACAAGAGGCAGATAGAGAGCACGGAGCACGCAATGCGTGGCACCAAAACAAATGCGAAACAAAAGCAAAGACTTTTTATTGTCTTTGTGAAAAGTTTTAACAATGTTTGAACAAGGCGGCAAGTTTTGATAAAAACTTAACTTTCACAGGCACAACGCGTTACGTTTTAGTGTACTGAGACAAATTGATATTCGCTTTTGTCTTCGTATTTGCTATGGTGCCACGCATTGCGTGTTCCACACCCCTCATCTGCCTTTCGTTCTGTAATCTGAGTTGGGATTTATCTATGAAACTTTTCCCTTCACGTACTTTTCTACTTTAAACCAGCTTTTGACGACATCCTTGGACGAGTGGTTTGTACGGCGGGTTTCATGCTGTCGCCGACTCGAGAAGTCCCGGGTTCGAATTCCGGTGGCGGCAGATGTTTGTGTGATGAATACGAGCATTTGTACTCGAGTTATGGATGTTTAATAAGTATTTCTATATACATATACTTATATATGTATCCGTATATTTATTATATCCGTTACCCTAGTATCCCATAAAACAGCCTACAGTGCTTACTTTGGGGCTAGGCTATATACCAATATAGGCTATATTGGTATGAGTGTTGGAAATATTTATTTATTTATGTTACAGATTTTATAAATCAGAGGAGCTGAATAAAATACGGAATCACAGTGACGAATGATACTTATATTCTGTGAAATATATTTTTACTAGGAAGCTGATACGACTGACTCCTAGCACAGCACAATTCAAAGTAAAAAAAATTTTTATAAGTGAACTGTATGCGTGAATGATCGAATGAGTGGGGGTTGAACGAACGAATGAAGTATTTGAGTTAAGACTGAATGAAAAAGTATACTTTGGCTTTACCTAGTCATGTTACTTTCCTTTTATTACAAAAGGAATACAAATTATAATATATATGGATTAATTTTTGCCAAATTAAATTCAATATATGTCACAAATACAATATCAATAAAAATATCGGAAGGCAAATAGATACAGTGACAAATAATAATGAAGTCTCGGGTTGTATAACACTTGAGATTCAGTGTGAGGTCGGTCGAAGCTCAAAGGACCGGCTCAAAGGACCCGTCCCGGAGCCGTGAAATTGAATTGACAGGACCAAAGCTTATGCCAACCACCTACATTAAGCTTTAGAGATTCCCGCGGAGTAAATAATGTTCAATGTACGCAATTAATTGATCGGCGCTATCCAATATTGTGATCGGAATGCAATTCGGATGATTGGTAGATAATCATTGTTAAGCTGTCTTATAAAAATAATTTTGTATTTAGAAGAAATAAATAAAAAAAACACAACTTTTTTTACAGTTTTATTTTTTATGCATTCAACTTCAAGACGTTTAAATCTAAAGAAAATTTTGCTAGATAAAAATCACAAGGTACAAGTGATTAAAAAATAAATAATATAGTAAGTAACTATAATAGAGATGATGACTAATTTTTTTTTCTACTTCTATCAGGTAGATTATCAAAAAGTATTGGACACGTATTTTTTCTTTTTTCACATAATATAAATATTGCAGAGATATATTGATTTGAAAAGTCGTCATGCGACCGTTTTGGTACAGTCACGAGCCGTTACTCCCAAACTTTGACGCGCTATAACTTTGTCACTTTTTAGTTGATTGCCCAAAGAAAAAATACGTGTCCATTATTTTTTGATCGTCTAAGTGACGGACTAAATAGAATTTCGTTTACTGTACCCCGTCATCACCCCTACTGCTATTTCTTCTTTCAAATTTTTAATACTTCTAAGGGTATTCGTTTGACATTGTGGGTTACCTACAATGCGAAGAGATGGCGCTTCCTTGGAGCCTTAGGCTAGAGAAAATTCGACACGGCGATTACGGTAGCTTAATGATCAGTGCATTCGTCCGGATAGCGAAGAGTGCGGGTTGGAGTCCCGCCTGCTGCCTGGTCCGCATGATTTTTTGTTCAAATTAATATTTCTTTTCATTTTTATGTTATAGGGTGACAATCAGATTATATGACATCAAAGTAGTCTAAACCTTTTTAAATTGCCACGATGCAATTAACTACTGAACAATCGAAACGTCCTTGGAACCATTTTACAAATATTTTCTGATTGTTTTGATAGCATATGTTAACTTTTACTTTAACGTGTATTATCAGGTCATTTAGTCAATATTTACTTTTAACTTTATCGTTATCCTTATCACTGAGATACGTATACGTAGTACTGGTGATGCCGGAAGCGTTTCGGAAAAATACATCAATTCCGATTTAGTACCTTTCATAGTAGAAGTATGTAAGTACCTACATATTTTGTTATTATTTTTAAGAAGCTCAAGACACAAATGTTTTAAAACAAAATCATATTCTACTGTGCATATAAACAGTTATAATTAAAGAACAGTTTATATAAGTAACATTAAAATGATGTCACTAAAAAACTTGGAGAATGGTGTCAATTCTGGCGTGATTCTCTAAACTTAAAACGAAATTTAAAGTCAGTGTCACCTTTTCATTCTGTATAGAGAAGGACAAGGATGCACTGTTATCAAATTTAAATTTAGCTTTAGAGAATCGCCGGAATCGACATAAATGTCTACCTAATTTAATTCAGCATAACAAGTTTATCAATTTTTTTTTCTGATGATAAATGTTGGCAGAGTCAAGACGCAAAGATGACACTGGACCAGCAGTTATAAACTGCCACACCAATCATCCTCACCTTGCCGGCCTACAGAAATGCTTTTTCATTTAAGCACAGCGCGTCGATTTTGTAACATACAATCTCAGTTTCGATTTCATTAATCCAAATTTTTATGACAATTCTCTCAAATATTCATTGCAGGCTGCTTTAACCGTCGTCATTGCGATATTTTTCCTTGTACTAAGATCACTGGAACTGAGATTGTATTTTACAGAATCGACCTACAGAGAACGCTTTTGTCACCAACTGTACACAACACCGTCACAACTCATATATGGCTATCTCGCAAACTTCTTCAGTTAGTGGCACCATTGTGACGCCATTGTTGTTGTGAAACTGGAAAAAATACAACATGAATATCGCCTGGTTTTTCGGATTCCTAATAATCGTTTTGGGCAAAGCAAGCGACATAGAGAGAAGCAATAACAATGGCGAAATAGGACAATGGACACTTTTAAGAAAATTGCAAAGCTTCCAAAACGCACCGAAAGACGACGCTAAATCCGTGACTTGGAACGATATTTTAGCCGAAGAATTAATAAAGAAAATAGGTATATACCCCTTCGACTCGTCGGAGGAATCGTTGAAGAAGAAAATAGCTGAAGGTAATTTTCTAAAAGAATCCTTGAGTCAGATGCTGGTTATATACAAAATTGTTTACGACAAGTTTGTAACGAATGAAGTAGCGAATTACAAAACAATTGACAATCGAAAGGAAGAAGTAGAAGTTATTGAAGCTGGAAGAGAAAAGGAGTCATGTGAAGGTTGTGGTGACGTAGAAGCAGGCGGAAATTTAGGGAGCCCATGTATAAAAGGTCAGAAGACGAATGAAGGAGGAGCTTGTGATGAGAAACAAGCAAAGTTAATACTAGCTGTGCCTAAACAGTGCCCCATTGGGTATAAAGCTGACAGACTAGGTTACTGTAGAGTCATTTTCTAGAATAAAGAGGAATATTATCTTTTTGATGACTTGAACCAAATCGTGATATATCATGTTTTTACACATGTTTGACCATTGCACTAATATATTCGCACTAATATACCAGATAAATAACGAATGTGTTGGCTTTATAGATCTTCAGTATAAAAATCGAGCATTAAGTTACTAGTAATTTATCAACCGATCTTAGTACTTAGCTTTAAAAGGTTTTTGTTTGTAAAAATGTATGATTTGAATTTTAGTTTATAGATTAAAATCATCATCTTTGCGTCGTATCGTAGCGCTAATTATGATTGTAGAATACTCAAACTTTATTTATATTGTAGGCTTATGTTTAATGTTATTTTACCTAAACACATTTATTAAGTTGATGAGACAAGATGGGATGATGACATTCGTAGGCTGGTTGGAGTAGGCTGGATGAGAGTGGCAGAAAATCGGGAGCAGTGGCGTGCATTAGGGGAGACCTATGTCCAGCAGTGGACGAGCATGGGTCGATGATGATGATGATTTATTTAGGTACTCGAACTTAAGAAGCCAATTCGTTTTTTGAAGAAGTTATTGAAAACAATATTTTCATAAAGTTATACAACAAACATAATTATTAAGTCTCACTTGCAAGGACATTTTAAAATAACGAAGCTCCTTCATCCCTCTTCATCATCATCCCCCTTATTAATAAACGAAGAATAAGCTTGGATTAGTAACTCTATGTTTCGTCTCTGTTCATTGAATGACATATGGCATTTGAGTGATATGAACAAAACACGCTTAGATTAAAATAAACAGGGTAGATACGGTACGCTCATACTAGCATCAAATAAAATATGATCCGATTCAACTACATAAGCAACTCTCGCCACGCACACGTCTGTATAAAACATCAACCGAGCGAGCGAGACAGAACTGTACGCTTCAACGCAGCGTATTGTTGTCCTTTTCTTGCTTACAAAATGGCGATTACGTAAATAATATCTACGACAAACCGTGATTTTTGAGAAAAAAATGTTTTCACAGTTTTACGAATGAAAAGCGTTGCCAATGCATTTGATTTTGAACTATTTTTGTTCTTTATAAAAGCATCGAAGGCATTGTTTTAGCTTCATAACACAGAATATACGCAATATTGTTATATTGAGTATACATGCATCGTGTTTGGTGTCAAATTGTGACTAAAGTGAATTATGGTCGTGGACCACAATTTAAGCGGATCACTTTTAAGCCACGAATGTCGTATCTTCCCTTTTTGTTTTAATCTAAGAAAACACGGCGTTTTTAGTCTAAGCTTATTCCTAGTTTATTAATAAGGGGCTGTAAGTTTACTTGTTTCCGTTTAAATCTTACCCCATCTTTTTCATTTGTTTAAAATAATATACAGATTGAATGATGTTCAAATGTCATGATTTTGTTTCCATCTAAAAACTTTGCTGCAAACCTTCATTATCTGGAATTAGTATCTATTCTTTTTATATTTATACATTGTTATTGTGTCAATTAGTACTTTTCATCTTGTATAGCATTTTTTTAATAAAATACTTTATCGTTATTCCTGTGTTATCCCTATTTACAACCAAATTACAAAGAGAAAAGAAACCACTCATAAATACTTATTCTCTAAATCAACGGTAACCAATTTATTAAATAAAGAATAAGTCGAACGTTTTATATAACACACAATCACTGAAAAAACAAGAATGGAATACTGCGTCAAACGCGGAAGGGATCCTGTCATTGGCCGAAATTACAACAAAAATACAATCCAGCCAATTACAGAAAAGCTTAGCTTTTATCGTTATCTACTAGCTCGATTCCGTGAGTGAACTATAGTTACGCAGTCTTTTGCCACTGTTTATTGAATTTTGAATATCATTAGAGTAATGTGAACAAAACATAAGCTTAATACATTCGTTTAATGTTATACCGCAGTTACATTTGGTCGTTAGCTTGTATTCGAGGACGCGAAAGATATTACTCAAATTCGGGCACCCGAAGCAATATTTACACTGGAATATGGGCTGGAGGACGGCGCTGTCGCAGCTTGAACTTTTGGAGGGGGTCACTCACTACACTAATAAAAAATGGGTATCTGGAATAAAACAAACATTATTGCACAAGACACAATTTTATTTTATACGTTACTTATAAAATATTGTTATACAATCTTTATCATAACGACGCATATCGATTTTGCTAGGATTACCAAAACTACGTAGTTCGGTTCCTTGTTTCTAAACTAGTACTAGGTGTCATTTCCAAGTTATTTTGGCCATCGTACGTAGTTCATAAAAACACTACTAGATGTCAGCAAACTATAAATTTATCGATTTTAGGGGGTAGGTAGAAATTTCCTTTTATTATTTGCCAAATTTTTGAAAAGTTTCAATTTGCTAGATTTGAGGGGGGGTCATGGCCCCTGTGACCCCCCCTCCCCCTTCGGACCGCGCCTGGCTAGAAGACGGCGCCGGCGGATCAACAAAAGGAAATCTACCCGAATACGGGCGTACTTGACTACCTTCATTTAAACTTAGTCACGGTAATAATATCATAGTATTCTTTCTTCATACAAACGGTCGGAAAGCGAGTCATACCTACGCCACTCGAGTTCGATGTGCTCTCGGCGGGCACCCAGTCGCGAATGCGCCGCCGCGCTGCAACGACGACCGAACGGTCTGAATTGTTTTTTATGCAGTTAGCCGTGCTTAAACGTGCGTTTTGTATTGTAAATATTTGATTTAATTAAGTAGATACCTACATAATTTAGTATGGAAAAGAACAAACGACGATCAATATCGTACAACAGCACAATTGCTGTTTTTGGTTGCTTGAACTCTTCAATAACACACCCAGAGATATCATTTTTTAAATTACCTGAAATATTTCAAAGGTGTCTTACCTTTATAGAATATTTTTTATATACCTATCTACTAATACGTTATTTGTTTCTAATATTTAGGTATTTCGGTTTTTCCATCGGGCAAAATATCTGGAATAATATATAAATAAGTGGTTAGGATGAAAAAAGAGACAAACGAGAGTAATCTACCTACACTTGCGTTAAAAACAAAACTACATAAAATACTGTAGGCGGGCGGCCCTACCGCGTGCCAACGCAGCGCTCGGTGTAGGCATTTATTTTCAAGGACAGGGCGGAGTCACAATACTGTATAGATAATATTACCGTGACTTAGTCGTTGACCCGAATCCCATTGGCACTACGTGGATAAAGGCAGATTTTGAACTATTCGGGCAAAAGTTATCCGCCAAACAATTTGTTACTTACGAAATAAATGCTATGTCAATTTCGCATATTGAGATTAATTATTAGATGAATAACTTTTATTCAGTGATCGAAAAAATAACCGTAACCACTGCCGGATTTAGGGGAGGGCAACCGGGGCGAAAGCCCCGGGGCCTCCATAAACCGGGGGCCCCCACAATAGAGACTTGGGAAAAAAAATCTTTTCCTTTGATATTTTTTTTTTGCTCTTTTACCTTTACCTACAACCTACTGTACTTTATACATCTAACATACATGATTATTTGATTATATTAATCTTAAATAACAGAAGTCATTGATCTATATTTGTTCACTCCAATCAGGCAATCAGTGAAATATTAAAATCTCAAATGGCCCTGATAAGCACTTCCAATTCACTACCCATCTTGAGGGAGTACCCCAATCGCTTGATGGCTGAGTGGGGTGGTACTTGCCCGCAGGGCCGAATTTAAGGCAGGGCAGGTGGGGCTGTGGCCCAGGGGCCTCCACAACAGCTTAAGAAATAACAACATTTCGATGGGTTAACAAGAATACAAATCCTAAGTGGCCCGGGGCCTCCACAATCCTAAATCCGGCCCTGACCGTAACATTACGGCAATAACTTATAACCTGAGCATTCCACTAACGCCCAAAGTTATCAAATTAGCGGCTTCGAAGCGCGTCAAATAATGTCACTAGAGGCTGTGCCGCCATACTAGCGGCTAATCCTATTTCAGTTACCGAACATGCAATCGGGACGCAATTTTACGGAGCCCCGACAGTTCCCGCGATAGCCGCCCAACTCAAAGGCTGTATTATATTATAACGATACGTACGATCTCACTTACACTTTGTGAGAAAAATCTTTTTGTACTGGATATAATATACGGTGTAATAATAATAAACGATTTACATCAATTGGCCGATAATGCTTTGGTTATAAAACATCAAGTGAGAACGTGATTTTTTGACGTTTCTCGCTCGTTTATGTTTTTTTTTTATTTTGGTTCAGTACCCCTAGCACGAACCAATATTGAATTCGTATCGTTTGCGAGTCCGAAGTGTCATTGTCAAATGAAGAAAGTCATCTACTATATAAAAATAAGTCGGGTTTTCCTTCCTGACGCTATAACTCCAGAACGCACGAACCGATTTCCACGGTTTTGCATTCGTTGGAAAGGTCTCGGGCTCCGTGAGGTTTATAGCAAAGAAAATTCAGGAAAATTTAAAAAAAAAATCGTTTTCTTTTAATCACAAAACGAAATGTTACATAAAACGAAGCTATCTGGTGGCGAAACGGAGTTCGCTGGGTTTGCTAGTTGTGTATAATAAAGCCTGAGAACAAAAACTTTAGTCTACACTACAGCTCTACACCGAAGCGAAGCGAGGGGGGACCACTAGTTATACTAATAAATTGAAGAGTAGTGTTAAAGCGAATCATTTACGTTGAAGTGTGAAATTTTGTTATCAGTCTGGTTACACCGGCCATCTTTCCTCTCGATAAAAAGTTTTAGAAGCACTTGTTCATTTCTTAACCTCTTGTGTCAGAGGTAGTTTAAAAAGAGTAGGTATATAGGTATTTTTGTTATAGGTACCGAGAAAAAATTACAACGAAATTTTCCGTAAAATCAGCTACAAACAACATTTGAAATGCAGCAATGCAAAATTTTAAAGTAGAGTATTGTTATTCGCCAAGAACAATTATCTTTACAATCCCATCAACTCTGTACGAGATTATTGCTTAAAGCTTTACTTAAAAGGTATCCGTACGTCTGTGTGTTCGTACGTAATACAGTTTAGTAACAGCATCTTGTACTGTGCAGACAATTGCGAGTCAATTTCATGGAACCCTGCTCCGCAAAAGATGTCCCACAAAGCATTTACCGGTCAGAATACACAAAGGCGGATCACTAAATTGACTGCGCTGCCTGCGACCAAGCAAATATTGAACGGAGACAATAAATAATAAATTGCTTCTGCACATAATACCTACTTGTAATAGAATATTTAAAATTGTATTTTTTGTTCGTTTGGACAGAAAGTACCTTGTTTCGGGTGCTTATTTATTATTAATTTAAGGACAATGTAAAGACTTGGTCACTGAAATAGAATTAAAAACAAACATTATAGTAGCAATGTATGATTATGTACTGTTTACGGAACGAAATAAAACTAATATATTGATCTAGTGGAAAAACTCCGAAGAAGAGATTTATTCAAGTCTAACGGCATCTATATATAATGATAGGCAACAAAAGGATAGCGCGAGTCACAAGCGTACAGTGCCATCTATCGCCGCACGGCGTAAACACATATCTTAACATTTCGCCCCCCAAAGGACGACTAGTCCCTTAATAAGTTTAGCAGAATATAACACAAAAATCTATAATATTATGAAACACATGTTGAAGTGTATATAAATCTAAAATAAACAAACCAAATAAAATTAATCATTCTCAATTGGGAGGACGCAAAGTTTATGAATTGGTCTTTTAATTACAGAATTCTTACACTTAAGCGTAACGACTCGAACCAAACCATCGCTACCAGGATGTATATCTATAACTTTAGCTATTAACCATTTAGAAGCTGGTAACCTTTCGTCTTTAACAATTACAATCGTACCTATATTTATGTTAGATTGAGTTCCAGACCATTTTTGCCGTTTGTTTAAAGTAACTAAATAATCACTGCTCCATTTACGCCAAAATGACTGCATTTTTTGCTGAAGATAAATCCATCTTTTTGTATATGGTACATTGACATTATTAAGATCTTGATCGGGTACGACCAAGGAAGATTCGCCGATAAGAAAATGACTCGGTGTTAAAACATCTAAACTGTCATCTGTGTTGGCGTCGATGGGTGTTAATGGACGGGAATTCAAGCAACTCTCTATCTGGCATAATAATGTTGAATATTCTTCATACGTAAGTTTACTTTCGCCTAGTACTCGATTGAGGTGGAATTTAACTGATTTCACAGCGGACTCCCATAAACCTCCCATATGAGGTGCTCCAGCAGGATTAAATTGCCATTCAGTTCCATCTCGAGCGAGTAAATCAGCTATTTCTACAGGTAAGTCCTTTTTACAGTCTAAAAACATTTGTTTGAGCTCTTTACTAGCTCCTATAAAATTTGTACCACAATCACTTATCAATTTAGTACAATGACCTCTACGAGATACAAAACGCCTGAAAGCGGCCACAAAACCTTCAGTACTTAAACTAGTAACTAATTCAAGGTGCACAGCTTTGATTGCGGTGCAAATGAAAACTGCAATATAAGCTTTTTGAGTTCTATTAGATCCTCGACCGTTAAATAATTTAAGAATTACAGGACCTGCAAAGTCCACTCCAGTCACACTAAATGGCCGTTGAGGATTGACACGTTCTCTAGGTAAGTTACCCATTTGCTGTGAACTCAAGTCAGCTCTATTTTTTGTACATATTATACACTTATGAATTATTGTTTTTATTATATATTTAACCCCTATAATATAAAATTTGGATCTGATATAATTTAACATTAATTGTACCCCCCCCATGCAAAGTTTTGTAATGTGCATCTAGAACAATGAGATTTGATAGATTATCTTTAACCAAAATGTAAGGATGCTTCATCTCACTACGCAGAGTGGAGTAATGAAGTCTGCCTCCTACTCGTAATAAACAATTCTCATCAAGGTAAGGATTTAATTTAATTATTCTCTTGCCATTTTGTAACTTCTTCAACATTTTAAATTTATTTATATGAGTATCTTTAAGTAATTTAATCTCATCTGTAAAGGTATTTGACTGTGATATGTATAACAAAGTATTCATTGCTATATTCAATTCATTAGTTGTAAGCCAACTAGGGTAAGTTAAATTATATTTTGTTTTACGCTTATTTTTTAAACAATTAATAAATCGTAACATTCTACACACAACACGAATGAGCTTGGTTAAATTAGAGTATCTACATAACAAATCTTGAGATAATGCACTTTCACTAATA